AGTTTTAGTTTGGGAAAGAGATAAGCACTTGTACTCTCTTCCCATTTTGAAATTCTGGAATGAAAAGGTTTCCTTATGCAAAGTTTTGAATGCAATTGGAATTGTGTTGGGAATATATTAAGAGGCCAGTTTATGGCCAATTTTGTTCATATTGGTGAAATAGGACAAAATTGGCCGTAATATCAAACAGTTAGATAAAATTAGCAAAATTTTTGAAAACTTTTAGACAACATTAGCCAAATAATTGGCTATACTAGCCTACTGTTTACGCATAATTCTTGACATCTTGTAATCTTCACTATTGGTTTAAAAGATAAAGAAACTTTCAAAAAGCATTTGAATGCAAGGTGAAAATAGTTTCATATATTAATAATCTTGGCCATCAAGCACATATGAATACCTTACATAGCTCAAGGCATGTTGTGCAACAAAAGAACAAGAGTAAAGTCCTAAACAAAAGGTTCCAAGGTGTAGACCAAAGTACTACTTTCAACGCAACCTTGCAGTAGTAAATATTTTACCAAAAAAGGAAGACAACCAAATGATTACTTTACATGTCACTTGACATGTGACTTCTTCCCAAACTTCATTGCTAAATTGTTTGAGCAAGATCCCCGAACAGGCTTGGTGATGAAATTTCCATCAACACGGCTACTTCTGACAGTATCATGATGAGGGCCTTGGTAGAAGTCATAAAGAGCTTTAGAACTTTTCACCTGTGGAACATCAGACATTAATTTTGTCCACTTTCCATTAGTTCCTAAAATGTGGCCAATGCATCCACAACAATCCCCTTATCGTTCTAACTTTCTGGTGGTTTAGGGGTTGAACAAGGTGCAGCCAGATGTCCAAAAACTTCCGAAAAACTCGATTTACTGTGCACTTTGTCTGTGATTGGAGCTTCATCAACCAGTTTGAAGGGAGGTTGTGAACTTGATGTCCGCTGAATTCGTTTTTTTTTTTTTTTTCAGATTTGTGAACCTTTTTTTAGGTTGAGATGACCTAGCAGCCTGTCAATATTACGAGCCTTAACAAAATAAGTGTTCAAACTATGTTATTCTAATTCTACTGAAATAAAGTAAGATAACTACTATATATCTTCACCAGAAAAAATAAATAAAAAAAAGGATGAACATGAAATTCTTAACAAACCTTGAACTTTCTCTTTTTTGTTTTCAGTGGAGTGTTTCTTAACCAAAATTCTTAAAGAATGTGCCATCCAATGAAATAAATTTCCTGCAACCAGTTAAAACCCCATCTCTAACTGCTGCAAAACAAAAGTATAGTCTCTAAAATCTTTGTTGACCTGTTAAGGGGCGTGTCCATTCATTCAAGGGTTTAAGAACCACGGAACTTGTTCATGATAGTAACCTCTTAGCTTATTGAACTGGTCATCTATACTCCCAAACACCAGTTGGACTGCTTTTTTTCTGGCTTTATATGATTGATCCTTTGACATGTCGATGTTGTATCGCTCCTTCACGCTCTTTTTGAATTCCTGAGGTGTTATATTGGGGTTTTCCTTAATAAGATCTGATGCCCTCAGTGCTTTCCAACTAGTAGTCATACACGGGTTGTGCTTCACCCAAGAGCAAGTGTGTTTCGAAGCAAACCTAGTAACCTAATAGTCCTATCCGAACATTTTTCTACATAAATCTTCCACTTGCATTTTGGATCAGGACACTTGGTACTAACCCTTTCTTTCTCAATTTTCTTAAACCTCCAATGAAAACCCCTTATAGTATTCCATGTCCTGATAATATGTATTGACTGTTCCAAGCTATTGAAAGCAAGTCCACACTTCAAATTATTGTAGAGCAGGCTCAGCTTCTTCATCAAACTTATGCAATGGTTCAAAATCATCATCAGAATCCGGTACTGTAGTATTCATATCTCTTAGTCTACCACCAATAGCTTCATCTTCACTTTCCTCTATATACCCAGCCCCTATGTGTGTGAACTCTCCAATGGACTTGCCAGTTTGAAGACATTTATTTAGACCATGCTGCTGATTTCTACTACTACTTGCAACAAGTGTTTTCTTGGTTGTAGGCTTTACCACACTTGCATGACCTTCACTATAACCATTTTCACCACCCCAGGTTGCTTCATTTTCATCAACATTCTCTTCATAATCTTGATCATCATATTCTGAATCGTATTCAGAATCCTTATCACTCCAGTCTTTGTTATCTTCATCACTCTCATCATCATCACAATCATTATCTAACTCTTCATTCTCATATATATCAGCATCATTCTTCACAACCTCACAATCATAGCCTTCAGTAACATCATTGTTTAACCCCTCAGTGTGACTTATATGACCAGCATTGTTCAAGTCCTTACGTCCATTGCCCTCGGTACCATGTTCCTCTTCAACCTGAACTTCTAAAGTATACAACTCAATCCATCTATCTTCTGCAATTGCCTCTCCATGCAATGGCGTGAGTTCCCAATCATGTGATATACCCTTCACCTCATTTTCTTCACTTATATAGAAGAACTTAACTTTTTCCGCCAATCCTACCCTGTTTGCCATCATAACCAGGTCTTCAAAGTCTAGGTTTTCCAAATCAACATTATATATATATAAAAAAAACCTATATTCTCCTCCATAATAAACAGGGGATGGTGTATAGATCATTTCACTACCATAATGAATCTGCATGCTTCCCATGGGCGTATAAGGATCTGTAGTAAGGTAAGGGACAATAATGAGGACTCTAAACCCTCAAAAAATTGGACTGAAATCTGTGATTGTGCATAATACGAACACCATAATTGAGAGGTTAACTAGAAAACACATGCATATGATCGGAATTTGGGACCACCAAAATCAAAATCAAGGTTAAGCCCTAAAAAAATTAATTAACAAATAATTACAACTATTATTTTACAAAGTCATCCATCAGTAATGGAACCTACAAGTATCATAATAAAGGGACATTCTTTCCCAAATCCCCTTTTCGCAGTAGGAAAGAAACAGAAAACAAAATTCACTTTTTGCATATCGAGACTTAAAAGTCACAATTTTTCTAAAAGATACTCACCATACTCAGGTGGAGGCTGTTCTTCTTCTTTTTTTGGCCGTGGATCAAGCATCTCGGCTGCTAAAATGCCTCTCCTCTCGCCGAAAACTTTTTTTTTATCTATTATATTCCATGTTTTTTGCTCAAAAAAAGACGAATCTGCCTTTCGTGTTTTTAAAAAATGGAAGGTTTTTTTTTTCTCAGAATGTAAGGACTTGGTTTTGTTCTAGTCTTCCAGAGTTCCAAAATTGAAATTTGTTTTAATGGAAATTTTCTTGGGCCATGTGGGGCCAACATAGGTGGATTTCCCTCCATTTGGGCCCAACATGACTAATATTAAGTCCCAATGTGAATTAGGTTTAAATCTAATCGAAAGGGCCCACGAAAAAAATCCGATCGACAGAAAGCTGTGAAAACCGTTAATTTGGAAAGAAATTGGCCAAATTAGACAAATTGACAAAAGTTCTGATAGCTAAGGGTAATATTGCCTAATAAAAAAAGAATAGGGTATGATTAACAATGGAGATAAAAGTTTTGGATAGATCGATCATTTTTTTCCAAAAATACTCCACTAGGGCTCGACGAATGGATAGATCGGGGGTCTAAATACTTGGTGATGATGAGAAACAAGAGATGAGAGGCGTCAAGTCGGGATGAGAATTAATATAATGGTATCGCAAATCAGGCCATGCCAGCTTTATACACAGATTTGAATCGCATCTGAGATTTTGCTGGAACTTATGGGAGGATGATGAAGATCAACTCATCTTGGACGATTGGAAGTTGAGATAGCAGATCGGATCCCCATTTCCTTTTGTCTTCTTTCTACTCTCACGAAGACGAGTGTCAATCACTTTTAGTAAATGATGGGATCCATAGTCGCACTTGTTGTGACCCGAGCTGTCCTTCATGGTCCGGGTCAGATCCGGTCAATAAAAGAGTGACCACCAGAGACCATGGTTTGCTATTACGGGAATAGATGCAAGGATCCCTTCTCCAACCTTATCCTCTTGTCAAGCTACTTATGGAATACAAACAGAGCAAAAGGTTAGAAGAGGATAAAACCATCCAGAGGGCAGATCCAAGGGTCATTCATATGCCTAATAGATCTTGGCCCTTCACTTCTAGGGTATCTCTCCTATAAATACTCTTCATCAGCCTCTAGGTAAAAGGTTCACACTCTTCTTCTTTACTTCACCTTCTACTTCATACCCAACCATCATTACTCCATGGCTGGTTTTATCTCTACCCCAATTGACTTGGGCGTTGGAGTTCGATCCCGGGGTACACCCCTACGATGAGCACTGACCCCCTTTCTATTTTATAGGTTTCACCCTTAAATTTCGAGCCCAAAGAGAAGGTCTAGCTGCAATTATAGATGGAGATCAAGACATGGTTCCAACCTTGTCATTTTTGGGATCCATCAACTGGCACTGACTGTGGAGAAGCCAAAAAGAATCATTGTTCTTCCCATTCACCAATAATCATCTTGAGTTAGTAGAAGATTGGGTAAAATTTGGGCCTTCTCTAAATATGTATATAGAAAAATAAAGATTGAAGTTCAATGAAGTTTTAGCTGCGACTTCATGTTTGAGTGTATATCTTTTTGAAGAAGACCTTTTATAGTCTTCAAACCATGAAGCTCTCCTTGAAAAGGCTAAATCAATGTTGAAGAAGGAAAAGTCTAGAACCTGGTCCTCCGCCTAAGGCATAACCTTCTAGAAGCTCTATCCTTAGCGTACTCTGAAGGTCCATTTGGATTTGGCTAAATAAGCCTCCACTTGAGGATGCCAAAAAAAAGAAAAAACCCCCAAATCTGTTTTTGTTTGTTCCTTAGACTAGCAGAAGCCTCTCCTCCGGCAGTGGCCTCCCCTCCGGAAGTAATTTCTCTTTCGGTAGCAATCCCTTCGTCAGGAGCCTCCTATTCGAGAGCTTTCCTCCGGAACCAGCTCCTCCTTCTGGAAGTAGCTATACTTTCAGAAACAGATGATCTTCCGACAATGGTGTTCTTTCCGACAGCTTCCTTAGAATTATAGAAACCCCTCCTCTGACAGTAGTCTTCCCTCCGGGAGTAGTTTCTCTTTCGGTAGCGACTTTTCCTCTGCTAAACACCTCCCCTGCAGCAGTGGTTTTCCCTTCAAAAGTAGTTTTCCTCCTGCAGCGGCTTTCCTTCTCGAAGTAGTTCCCCTCTGGCTGTGTTTTCCCTAAGGAAGTAATTCCTCCTCTTGTAGTGGCTTTCTCACCAACAGTAGTTTTTCCTCTGGGAGTAGCTCCCCCTCTAATAGTTTTCCTTCGGAAGTAGCATCTCCTACGACCATGGTTTTCCTTTTGGCAGTTTTCCCTCAGAAGCAGCTCATGCTTCAAAGGTAGCTCTTCCTTAAACAATGGCTCCTCCGACCAGCTTCCCTTCTGGCAATAACTTGCCTTCAAGTGTAGCAGTAACCACGTCAACAAAGTGGCATGGTGTCTGATAGCAACTCATTTTACCAGAGGCACTAGGTTCTTCCTCTCATTCTGGAAGCGCAGCAGGCTCCGATAGTAGTTCTTCACGGAGTCTATCATGTGTAATTGTACCCATATCAAAGGATGCATCTTAAAGGAGCAAGATCCTACTCCAGTAAGTCTTCAAATAAAAGTTCTTTGACCCCTTTTACATGCATTATGTGCTTTCAAAGTTTTAGCAACTTGAATTATGCAATGATTTTTGGAAATCATATGGGTAATGCTTAAGAATGTGTTAACACCTAGGTGGAAAGTTTTCAAAATGATCGAGAATGCATGCATAACCCTAAAAGGGATCGTTATCATGAGTGTATATCACATTTATAAGCAAATACCTGAGAGAGATATTAATCTTCCAAATGAGTTAAAAAGTTTACTACTGTAGAGTAAATCATGATCTCGAATTTTTCAACAAACATATGTGTTAAATACAACACTATAGCAAGAATAAATAGGTATTTGCAAATAAAGCCAAACCCTTGACCTTTAAATGACTAAAAATCTCTTATGCAAATTTTGCTTTGGTCCAACACGAGCGGGCAAAATAACAAGTGGTTTCAATCTTTAATTTTAATTAAGTCAAGAAAAATAAAGGCATCACCTCTCATTTTAAATGAAAAATGCCTTTGTATTAATCATGCTTCCGAATGCATGCCAATATGAGATAAATTTTGTAATATAAATTTCTTGCTTGCTCTCATTGATTAGTGCTTCCAAAGCCTTTAACCTTATCACTTGGAGCAGCTCTTCATCTTGAATTCCTCTTTCATTTTTTTGAAAAAAAAAAAGAAATGGGGCTAGTGCGATACTTCACCCCTTTCAGCTATTGTGTAATCTTCTTTTAAGCTTATTGAAAGGCCTTTTATTGAACCAGTTAGCAGCAGCAACGGCTACACTTGCTGATCAAGCAACAAGATGTCAACATCAATCAATGGCTACACTTGCTAATCAAGCAACAAGACGTCACCATCAACCAGAAGAAGATCCAGTTTGGCAGAACCCTTCCAGAAACATCATACCGCCAAGTCATCAACCTTCACAATTCAAAATGTCTTAATTATTGATCATTAGATTAGAATGATTGGTTGTAAATAGACATTTATGATTAGATTAGTTGTGTTTTATCTGTGAGTACATAAATGTGTCGGTTAAAACTGTAAATGATGTATATATATAGATTAGAATGCCGGTTGTAAAGTTGATGAATATACAAAAATTATTCACAAAAAAGTTTACTCTCTCGTTTCCTTTAGCTTTGCTGTTCTGAAGAAACTAATTGATCCTCCATTGTTTCTGTTTAGTTTCTGTAAACTGTATATGGTATCAGAGTAGGTCTAAGATTTGCTCTGCTCTGACTTCCGCTGAAATTTACTAGATAAATCTATTTATTCTGATTAGGAACCCTAAAATCTTGATTTATACATCAAGAAGGAGAAATTCTGGGGATTTCTTGATTTCTGAAGGATAAACCGTAAAGATGGAGAATCGAAGAGAGATTGATTCGCTAATTGAAGAACAGCTGCATGTCCATGGTTCAGAAAGTCCAAGAACGCAGATTGTTTTGGTGTTGTTGATAAGCAAGAACTATCTCATTTGGAGGAGTGCAATGATTTCAGCACTGGAAGCTAAGATTAAGGTTGGATTCATAGATGGAAGCTTTCTAGTGGCAGTAGATGATTCACCAATTTTTCTGAACTGGAGAAGAGCTAACAACATGGTTTGTTCTTGGATTAAAAGTTCCATGGTGCTGATCTGATGAATTAGTTCATGTTTATTTATGATGCAAGGAAATTGTGGATGAGTCTTGAGCAACGTTTTGGTAAGACTAATATGCCACATCTTCTTGAATTGAAAAGAGAAATTGCTTTACTTAGTCTAGGGAATTTGACTGTAAGTGATTACTTTGGGAAGATCGAACAAATCTGGAATCAATGTGAAGAGTTAAGGCCAACTCCTATGGTAGAAGGTGAGGCTGGGGACTTAATTGTTCAACGAGAAAATGAAGACAGAGTTATAGAGTTGATGATGGGATTGAGTGATGTATATGAACCAGAAAGAAGTCAAATCTTGTTTATGGATCCTATACCTTCTGTTGATAAGGTGTATCATACGATCATCACTGCTGAAAAACATAGACAGGTTAGTGTTCACATTGCTGCGAGCATAGAGAATTCAGCAATGATGATGCAGGAAGCTGGAAATTTAGCCATGATGGCGCGATCTACTGGGGGGAAGAAGGATTATCATGGTAGAAACCAAAGATCACGGGGTTATTAGAAGGTGGATAAGAGTCATCTGCTGTGTACTCATTGTAATAGAACTGGACATCTTGTTGATGATTGTTTTAAGTTGAAAGGATATCCAGAATGGTGGCCTCGTATCAAGAACAAAGAAACCTAGTTTTAACTCTTCTAATATGATTGAATATCCACAGTCAACTGGATTGCAGAACAACTCAGGAGTGAATCAAAGAGGCTATAATCAATCATACTCTACTGTGAGCACAGGAGGTCTGGAATGATGAAGGGTGGACCATAGAGGTACAATAATGGAGGTGTCAGCATCACTCCTTTAGATTTTAATGCAGAAGGATCAGAATCAGATCAACATGCATTTAATAATGCAGTACAAAGAGAGGTTGACTGGATTAAGAAGGGCAAAAGTGTGATCAATTCAACATGGGGACCAATGGTGAACATGGCTTATTTTCATGAGTTTGCAGGTATTACTACTTCTACTCTTAGTTCTTGGATAACAGAAGAGATTAGTGCACGTGCATAGGTGACAGATTCAGGGGCTACAGGGCATATGTGTGTAGCCATTTCATTAATGCATAATACACAACTCTTCCATTCCTTCACACCAGCTTGGTTACCTAATGGTAGCATCAAGCATGTTAGTGATTTTAGGGATGTTAGTATCTCTGTATCCGTCACTTTGACATCTTGTTTATATCTTCCTAGCTTTAAATACAATCTATTGTCAGTAAGAAAATTAGCCAAAACTTCTCATATGACTTTTCAATTCTATGCTGATTTCTGTTTACTATAGGACCTTAAAACTGGCAAGGTCTTAGCAGCTGGAAAGGTGATCAAGGAATTATATGTCCTGGATTCCTATTCATTCACTTCAAAACCTATTGCAAGATCACAAAAACTTTATGCATCTTATATGATGAATCTTAGAGTACCTATCAGGAATAATGTACATTTCCAAACATGTAATCATGTTTCTTCTATATAATATATAGTGCCTTTTGATATTCTTCATTCTAGAATGGACATCCTTCCCTAGATGTTATAAATCCCTTACATGGTTGTAATATTCATTTTGAGAAAGATTGTAAGAATCATCTATGTGAAATATGTCCAATTTCAAAGCAGCATAGGCTGCCATTTCCAGTATCTCTTACTATCAGTGATTTTTGTTTTGATTTGGTACATATGGATGTCTGGGGACCTTTTCATAAAGCAACCAATACCAATTGTCATTATTTCTTAACCATAGTAGATGATCACAGTAGGTGCACCTGGACTTATCTTTTCTAACACAAGACACAAGTACCTGTTTTAATAGAGAACTTTTATAACATGGTACAAACACAATTCCAAACCATTATCAAGATGATTAGACTGATAATGGAATTGAATTTTTGAATCAATCATGTCAATCATTTTTTAGCCAAAAGGGCATTTTCCACCAAAAGATTTGTCCCTCTTCACATAGCAAAATGGAATTGTGGAAAGGAAGCATAGACATCTTCTTGATGTAGCTAGATCTTTGTTGCTTCAATCAAAGTTACCTAAGAAATCCTAGGGGGAAATCTATATTGACTACAACCTATTTGATCAACAGATGGCCTTCCAGGGTTCTAAACTAGCTATCTCCTTTTGAAAAACTCCATCACACTAAGCCTGATCTTTCCATACTTAGAAATTTTGGTTGTCTGTGTTTTGCAGTCAACAATGGTCCAGGTAGAGATAAGTTTGATCCTAGATCATTCAAGGGAAGATTTGTTGGGTATCCTCATGGTCAAAAGGGATATAAAGTATACTGTTCAACTCTTGATAAAATCGTAGTTTCCAGGGATGTGGTATTTCATGAGACTACATTTCCTTCCATAGTTGAAGTTAAACATGACATTCCTTTACCTTCTGTTAGTATTCCAGATACAGATGATTTTGTTTCTCAATCCTCACCTATAACTTTCCTTAATGATCATCCTGATCTTTCTAATGCTCATTCTGATCATAATAACAATCATCGTAATCCTTCTAATGTTCATTTTGACCATAATAGTGGTCTTTCTGATTCTATTGAATCACTTTCACAAAATTCTTCTATTCCATCTTCTTCTAATCCTTTAAGGAGAAGGGAAAGGATCAGGAAACCACCTGCTTCATCAGAAGATTTCTACACTTTTCATTGTCAGTCTTCATCCTTTCCTCTCTCCTATTCTGATAATAATTGCATTTCTAGGTCTGCATACAATACCTTTATAGCAAACATATCTGTCACACATGAACCAATGTATCATAACCAAGCTAGAACCAATCAAAAGTGGGTAGAAGTCATGAATTCAGAATTGAAAGCTCTTGAAGACAATGGTACATGGGAGTTTACTGATATACCAAAGGAAAAGAAGGCAGTGGGATCTAAATGGGTTTATAAGATCAAATGTAATCCTGATGGATCAGTGGAGAGATATAAGGCAAGACTAGTGGCCAAGGGTTATACTCAGGTTGAAGTGGAGGACTTCAATGAAATTTTCTCACTAGTGGCTGAAGTAGTCACTGTTAGATTGATGTTTGCCATCGCAGCAATTAGAGGATGAGGAGTTTATCAATTTGATGTAAATAATGCATTTATGCATGGGAATCTAGAAGAAGAAGTGTATGTGTATCCTCCATTGCATTATGATAAAGCCAAAAAGGGACAAATTTGCAGTTTAAGGAATTCACTATATGGTTTGAAGCAGGCCAGTAGACAATGGAATCAAAAATTTACATCCAGGTTATATGATTATGGTTTTGTTCAGTCCTATCATGATCATTGTTTGT